TTGTTTATTTTTTAAATAAAATAGGGGGATGCTGAATGGCGGCTTTTGCATCTTTCCACTGACTTACACATGATGAGTTTTCTCTAATTCCCAAAGTTAACTTTTTTTGGAGATGATTTTTCTTAGAATGTATTGAAGAACAGAAGCAATTTAACCCTTATATAAGAAAGTGCACACATCTGTCTACCCAAAACATGTGCTTCCTGCGGGAGTAAGAAAGAGTCTGTGCCTGAGAGTTCGTGTGTCAGCTGTCAGCACTCAGGCAATGACAAGGGGTGCTTATCTCAGTGATTCTATCTTCCTTTAAAAAGGACCATTGCCTCACTTAACATTGCACATCAGGCTTACGTTTCTTGCTGATCTTCTCTAGTGCTACCCACCCACACCTGGCAGTCAAAGTCTGAACCTTTAGTGACCCTCTGTTTGCTGCTATAATGGGCAAGAGCCCAAACACAGCTATCAGATGAGGCCAGGACAGTACAGCTTGCATTTCTTATTAGTGAAAGGGAGCAAGAGTCCAACAACACCTTAAAGAAAAGACTAACAAAATTTGTGACAGGGCATGAGCTTTCATGAATCACTGCTCACTTATTCATATACAGCTGGAATGTGAGTCCATCTCTCCTTATATCGTGGAGAGTGAAATGATTTCAGATGCCAAATGACAATAGCGGGCATTGTTAATGAGAGAAACAACCTAGGTCTCAGTTCAGTCCAAGAGTTTGCATTGTCTTGAGCTTCTTTATCAATTGCAATTCAGTAATCTCTCTTTCTAATCTCCCTCTGAAATGCCTATCTAAGAGAATTGCCACTTTTAGGTCTGCAACTGAATGTCCTGGAAGGTTAAATTTCCCCCCACTGGTTTTTTGTCTTAGCTCAGGAAGGATGGCTCCAGAGCAAACTAATTCATGCGGCAGCCAAATTGCTCTCTCACAACTTTAATGGCAGTAGCTCACAAAGTAGAAATTTTGCTCACAAAACTCCACAGCTTAGAGGGAACATTGGTGGTGGGCCCCCTGAGCAAAATGTTGTTAGCTACGGGCCTGCGTCCAGGTCGCGCACGCGAGCCACGCAAGTGACTCCCCACAACAGGAAACGCCTCTGCCAGTGGCTGACAGGTGTCCCTGGCCGGTTGCTGTGCCTCCGCTTCAGAGTTCGGGCAGCCTGTCCTGGACGCTGGCTCGGCCTCGACGAGGTGACCATCGGCTGCTCCGGGATTCTAGGCGGCTTCTGCTTCGTGCGCCTCTCACTGGCCCGGGGAAGCGGCCCTTGAGTCCACCCCCCCCCCCCCGTGGTCTTTCTCGGAGTATGGGGGGGGAGATGCTCCTCTCCCGACTGCAATGGGCAATGCATGGAGAGCTAGGGGGATGATGCAATAGGGCTGACTCCACCACTGCTGCGGGAGAGCTCCAAGTTGTTTCACGTTTGGCATCGGAAAACGCTCAGGGTTGCAAATATTAATGGTGGTACTGCATAGCAAACCGGAAGGCTGGATGAAGTGCTGTCAGGGAGAAAACAGTCATTGACCAACAGAAGCTGGTGCTTTGGGGACGGAGTGATATTTTATTAACCTAGCACATGTACTTAGAGCCTTTCCCGTCTATTTTGTGTCTGTTACAGATTCCAAACGTACAACAGGGTGCTACTTTATATTGGGCATAATCAACCGAATTTTACTTAAACAGGTTTAAGTTCCATTGATTTACATAATGAGGCATCAGCTGGCTGTGAATTAAAATAAAAATGTTTTAAGCAACAAAAACATTTAAGCCACATGCTTAACATTGCAACCCTATACAAGTGACTCCAGTCTTGATTTCCATTGGGTTTAAGAGTGCAACATGTCATAAGATTGCAATCCTAGTCTTCTGTTGAAGCCAGAAGAGATGTAACAGTGCTTAACTGTGGCTGGGTCTATATGTTGCCTACCTTAGGCCCCGGCCACACATGCCAGAAAACGTGGGGGGGAGGTGTGGCTATTTGCACCGTCGCATTCTGATCCGCCATTATGCGATCAGACGTGACAGCGGCGCACCGGGGTTGCATCCTTTGGCGTGTGCTGCAAAGAGGACGGCCAGAGGGAATAGGTGCACACTGGCGCGATCACACCAAACAAGTCTGTCTGCAGCCTGTGGCAAACCATTTGCTAGTAGATCTTTGCAGGTACTTTTTAACTGCGCATCTTTGGCAACACGCCACGGGTTGGCCATGGGTGCACTACGCTTCCAAGATGTTGCGGTGTGATCGCGCCCCGAAAATCCGCCCAGCATTCATGCCTTTCACGTGGCAAATTCTCCGTGTGACAGTTTCACATGCAGTCTGGGGACTGCTGTTTGAGTAAAACTAGTCTCAGCCACTATGGGCTGACTGAAGTAGTATCACAGATGTTGGTCAGTATTAACATCAAGTGTTTGTCGGATAAATGGGAGGCACTTCAAAAGCTGGTTGCTGTTAAATGTAGTATCTTGATAATGTGAGGTACAAGGCACAGTTCCTTCAGATGCAAACCCTGTTTGGCCAGTCTTAGCCACTTGGGTCTGATGGAAATCTCAACTTGCTGTAAGGTCCAGCTACATTTCAATATTACGGTTCCTCTGCTGTAAAATTGAGAAAATTGAGAATACAAATGCTTATGTTGCAAGAACTTCTGTGATAGCTAACACCTAACATTTTAATGCAGCTTTCACAAAATTAAAAATGGTTGCATACCCCCTTGCAATTTCAGTGTACTTTCTAAATCTTATTGTTATATGAGAACCTTAGAAAGTTCCCACCAGAAGTTACAGTCTTAAACCCCTTGTAAAGGTAAAGGTTCCCTTGCTCAAAAGCCAGTCGAGTCCGACTCTAGGGTTGCGGTGCTCATCTCCGTTTCAAAGCCGAAGAGCCAGCGCTGTCCAAAGACGTTTCCGTGGTCATGTGGCCGGCATGACTAGATGCCGAGGTGCACGGAACGCTGTTACCTTCCCACCAAAGTGGTACCTATTTATCTACTTGCAATTTCTTGCTTTCGAACTGCTAGGTTGGCAGGAGCTGGGGCCAGAGACAGGAGCTCACTCCATCATGCGGCAACTCGGGTCTCGAACTGTTGAACTACCGACCTTCCACAGCCTGCAGTTCAGCGTCTTAACCACTTGAGCCACCACAGCTCCTTGACTGAAAATAAATTTCACTAGAAGTTTTACAGAGAAATCATAGAGGTTTACTTACAATTTAATCCCACCATTCTCCCACGTAAGCATGCTAAGGACTGCAGCCTTAGTTACGAATAAAAGGATGCAGGACCAAAGTGTTAATTCAGGCTGTCAATAAAGAGTACTATATTTTTTTTAACGTTCCACTGCAGGTATTCAACTGAAACAGCCACTGACAGGAATACAAGTTACAGGATACAATTAAAAATAGAGATGATAGGGGCAGAGAAGTACTGCATAAATTATGCAAAACAATAAAAATGGATTAAATCATGATTTTATTACAAATACAGACCTTTACTCTGAATCGTACTAGATATTAAATGCTATCAGTAATCATGTATGAGTGTTTCATTTCTGTAAACCTCTGTGGTGATTACCACTTGGCAAAATCGATGCAAAAGTAATTCCATATGTTGAACTTAGTTGGTTCAAGCACTTCTCATACTGATCATTCAGGTGTAATGATTCTTGAAGAGCATATTTTAAATCTTCTATTTCATCAAAAAAATCCTGAAAAGAATGCCAGTACATATCTTTTAATTAAATACTACATCCCAATAAAAACATCTAAGATTTTATAAGTTACCACTCAATGTTATTTTTATTATTGGGGGGGATCTAAAAACCAAAAGATTTGCTAAGTAAAACTGTATAAAGTTTAATTTGGCTCCCATATTACTGTACTTAACTGCTAACTAATTTAGGGTATAATCCTTATCCCATTCTTAATTATGGTAGTTCTCATCTAGTACAATACATAGTTGAAAGCGCAGGAAAGCATCACTACCAAATCCTATTTATAGACTTTGTAAAACTGAAAAGACTTCTGTCCCTGCCAAGTGTACCTCTGAGGGAATGAAGACTTAATTACAGGAAATACTTTGTTGCTATCTATTTCAGCTGAATATACACAAAGAAATATCGGTCAAAGGAACATTTGCTGTGTTTCCAAATTAAATCCACTGAATGTGGAACATCTTCACGTACATTCTAATGACAAAGGTATTCATAAGGGGGGGGGGGAGAGAGAGAGACACTGAGTTGGATCCAGCCAGCTTTTTCAGTCATTCTCATCTAATTCCTGTCCTTGCTACAGGCCCTGTCCCACACGCTTTTTGTCCCGTGATCCCTAACATAGCCTTTTTGGTGGTCAAAGGGGGTCCCCCTCCTTCCTTTCCACCAGCACAAAAGCCTTAAACCTAAAAGATGAACACTTCCAGCAAAGAGTCCTTGACTGACAGTTCCATAAAGAGGTCATCACAGGTTGCCCGTTGTGAATGCAACAGAAAGGTATATACATGGACTTGCTGTGCATGCAGAACCCTCTCCAGCAGATTGCCAGCACGCCCAGTTCTGAGCACCTTTTGAGGAGGGGGGACATAACTAAATAATCTCACCACCACCACCAGAGAGGAACTATTTTAGTCCTCACACACCACAGATACTTGGAAAGTACAGGTTCAAACCAAGGCTCTGGATATACAAGAGAATCTAATTATCATAGCAGAATTAGTCATATGTAGCTGACACACCTAAGTCATGGCCTTAACTTGCAAACAAGTTACCTTGTCTAATGCAGCAAGTTCATTTCTCAGCATTCTTCTCTCTCTAGATAGCTTTTCATTTTCCTTCTTCAGTTGCTGGATCTCCAAAAGCAACTGGTCTGCAATTTAAATATATCTTCAAAATCAAGAGCTCACTAAAAAGCATAATCATGATACAACATAATTTTCACATTATATTTAAAGGCAAGATTGAAGTTGCTTTTTTCTTATAAAATTCTCTCCAGAGAAAGCCTTGCTAGTATGAAGCCCTCCTAGCTGGAAACCTGCACAGATGCTGTTTAGCCACGTACAGTTTTGTTGGCTCCTCATGACCTGATTCTGCTGAAAAAAGCACCTCATAGGATCAGCTGTGAAGACTGCTACACTGGTAGGAAATTACAGCTGTAGGAAAGGGCCATATAAAAGCCATGGAAAACCTTGAGCTGCAAATACAGATCACACGCAGCACATGGATTACAGGGTGTGACGACCTCTTATCTGGGAAGGTCTAGTTTTACTTTAAAAGTTCTTATGGTTTATTTTTCTTTGGGTATTCTGGCTGCCACCAGGAATTTTTAATAAATTCCAATTCTTCTCTTTGCTTCTGGGCTTGGTATTGTAGCACGGGGTCTAGGCCTTTCGAGGAACTATGTGGTCTGAGGAAGGATTCTTTACTTAGCTGGTAAACTTGAAGTAAATAGGATTTATTTAAAGAAAACATAAATACGAGGGTAAACAATGTAAACAGTACTGGGAAGGATTTGAACAAATGCTTGGTGTCTCTCACAAGCTTCTCCTTTACTGACAGGGAGGTTAAAGCAACCTTGTAACACTTTTCACTGTACTCTTCTTAGACTCTCAGCTTTCAATTGTAACTCTTATAACACAGAACTTAACCGTCTGCTTAACACAGAGACTTTTACTCTTATATTTCACACAGGAACTTCTCACACAGAGACCTCAGGACAAAACTCATATCAACTGCTTTTACACAGCACACTCTGCTGACTGACTGTTTCAACACAGAACTAAACAACCCATACAGGGAAGCTTCTTCTTATAACTGTTTTTCTCAACTGTCATACCTAACAGACACACCAGATAGACATTCCAATCATCCACACAGCATCCATTCCAAAACCCCTCCCCCTCTCTGTCACTCACCAATCATATCCCTTGCTTGTCCAGCACTCTAGATTCCTCACACAGCTATGCCAACCAAACTTTTTAAACACACACACACAGTAAAACATGGAATCGTTACACAGGGGTACAAAGTACATCAGGGAAGTGGGAAGGAGACAGTGTTATGTGGCAAGTGGAGCTGAGATGTACAGCTCTGGTCCACTTGTGAAGCACAGAAGGTTGGCTTTAGCCGCCACAGTGCGAACCTCCATCTGCAGTAGCTAAAGGCAATTTATAGTATCAAGTTGCCAGTGGAATACAGTGCCATGTACAGTTCTCCACTTATGCCTCCTACTCAGTCACATATAAGTGTACACATGCTAAGAAATTGAATAAAAATAAATATGAGTAGCTATTCAGACAGTACCCAGCCAATTAAACCAAACAACGTTTTCCTTCGGAAGAACAGAGGCAGTACAGGAATCCATGTCTACCCCAGAATCTGTTCACTGAAGCCAGTCTGCTGCTGGAAAACAGCCAGGGGAGGGAGAGAAAGAGCCACTGCAAAGGTTGACGAGGGAGAGACAAAGCACAGGACAGCAGCACAAGGGGAAAGGAGCAACCAGAGGAGAAGTCTGGAAGGTCAGCACTGAGAGCCAGTGTAGGATAGTGAACAAGAGTGTGGAACTGGTATCTGGGAGACTCGGGTTTCAGTCTCCACTGGTGCCATGGAAGCCCACTGGGTCAATGATACTCTCTCAGCCTAACCTATCACACAGGGTTGTTGTGAGGATAAAATGGAGAGGAGAACGATGTCAGCCACTTTGGGTCCCCATTGGGGAGAGAGGCAAGGTACAAATGAAGTAAATGTGAAGGCTTTAAAAAAAAAAAAGGGAAATTACAAAAACAACACTGCCCTGGGGCTTTTAAAGAAATGTTCCCAAAAGAAAAACCGGAAATGTTGGGAAGCTCTGAAAAAGCACCTACAAAATACCAATCTTTAGAATTAATGAAATGCTTTCTGAGACATGTAACTCATTCAGAATGTGTCGTATGAAGATTTTGATGCAGCACAAACCTAACAGCATTCGATAATTATATTTCCTGTGTATATAGACAAATGCCCACAGATGTTCTCTGTGCGACTGAACAACAACAACAATTTTATCCACAATTAACCTGCTATAATATGATAAAACAGTTAAGTGTCTTCAATGTTAGACTTGATATCCAAATATGATGCTAGTTCTATAATTGTGACTGTATGAGTTTCTCAAATAACAAACTCTATTTTGCTTACAACAAAAGTTGTATTTTGTTTTCAATTTCTCTTTTGTCTTGCTAAGTTTACACAGGATACAGTAGTTTGCAGCAGTCTCTCTCTCATGTATTAGATATATTCACAATTTTGCATGTACAAAATAAAGACATTTATACTTCTAAATACCATAAATATACTAAATAGTACTATTTTTTATTCCAAGTTACAAATTATGTATTTTATGCTGTTAAATTAAGTAGTAGTGGTGGTGGTGGTACTAAATTTCAAAATCTATTAATTCAACACTTCTGGAATTTTTATGTCTCCTCTTGAACAAAGGAAAAGATTGGAACAAATTGGAAGTTTGGAATAGAATCCAAAGCGCAAGATCAAGCGTGGAAGGGAGTATGCATTCAGTGTGGTAGAAAGCACTTCTTTGTATCTGCAGGGGTGATGGTTTGGGAGAGATGCAATGGTTCTTCTAAGTGACTCCTCCTGTGTATTATAGAGTTATAACTGCATGCCCAGGATTGCTATACTGGACTTTTTTGTTGGATTTTGGATGTTCCAATAAAAAGGTTTTAAATTGCTCTTGTTTTTGGATTTTTCCCTATGAATCAACATAAAGGAAAATTTACAAGATGTAATTCTGATGCCCATAAAAACAGTTCTTGGACTTAGGGTTAGTCCAGAAGAAAAGCATACAAGAGACATGAGGACATTTGTTTGGAACTTGCCACATGGTCTGGTTTAGTAAATTTTTAAAAGAAGAAGAAGAAGAACAGCTCCCTCTTCTTCGTCCAGGGTGGGTCTAAACATCTATATCAAGTCTTAATTCCAGAGGCTTTTTTTGTTCTATGTCTGGTAACCTCAAGCTAATGTAAGAATCACAGATTCAGGGTACAGTCTCTTTCAAGTCACAAAGATAAAGGCCCCATAAGGAAAATTCCATTCCATTCTGGAACTCAGAGCAACCCCCTATTTCCAGAGTTATGGTGCTTTGCAAGTCTATTTACAGACAGACAAGGCATCTACAACAACCCAACAACAAAAAGCATCAGGGGATCCCATATTCTTACCTAAATATCTGCAGGAACAGCCCCCCTTCTTTTTGCACACACATTTGTGAGATAATGTCTTTCTCCGTGCTGCAGTACCTGGAGCAGTTTTGCCCCCTTGTGTACCCTTTTTGCTTTCTAACTCCTTTCTCTTTTGGCTTGCCAACTGAAGTTGTTGTTCTAGCTCATTAATTTTAACCTGTGGTAAAACAATAGGACATATTTAATACATGAGAAAATGCATACCACCTCAAGCATACATAGAAATATACTTGGTGAATTAATTCCGGGTGAAGTCTTTATCTGTATTAGTGGTAGGCAACAAAAAAACAAAAGAAGAGAATCCCCTCTAGATCAAAATATGCAAAGCTCAGATAGAGAAAAGGATTTTAAAAAAACAACCCAACCTTTCTACATGTCATGTATTTCATGATACCCAGCTTGTATTTTTTTCTCAAAACACCAATCCCATGACCTACTGCAAAAGTAAATATAGAATAAATCCAGAGTTAAACACTTTGGGGCAGGCTGGGTTTACATTGCAAAGCTGGTGACAGACAGGGCAATGCCAATAAACTGTCCAGAAGGAATGCAGGAATACGTTCAGCCCCAATCCAGCAATGGCACTGCATGCATAGCCACAGATGCAGGATCTTTTTCCCCATACAGGATCTTAAGCATTCATGGAACAGATCCAAAAGAGGATCTGTTTGGAGAAGTCTGCTTCTGTAAACAGTTGCTTTTGCTATTGTTAATTCTATTTCAACCCTACCCTTCCCAAGGACAAATAGAGAGTAACTATCATCTCCCTTCTCACTTCTTCTGCATTGGGTAGGGGGTTGGACTAGATGGTCTGTATAGCCCCTTCCAACTCTGATTCTATGACTCATGAAAGCTCATACCCTACCACAAGTTTTGTCAGTCTTTAAGGTGCTACTGGAGTCTTATTCTTTTCTACTGCTACAGGCAGACTAACACAGCTACCCATCTTATTTATTTATTTATTTAGATTTCAAACCACCCTCCCCCGCCAAGGCAGGGCTCAAGGCGGTGTAAAAGGTTAAGGTAAAGGTTTCCCTTGCTCAAAAGCCAGTTGAATCCAAGCCCAAGAGCCAGCGCTGTCTGAAGACATTTCTGTGGTCATGTGACTGGCATGATTAAACACCAAGGTGCACGGAACACTGTTACCTTCCCATCGAAGCAGTACCTATTTATCTACTTGCAATTTCTTGCTTTCAAACTGCTGCACAACATAATAAATTCATAATCCATAGTTAAAACAGTTTAAAAACAATAAAAGACACAGTAATTAACCTTAAGATGCCACTGCCTCATGGGGAAGCAGGGAGTGGGAGTGCCAGAAGGATGTCTTGATCTATCTTGATCTATCATCTCCCTTGTAGGGCTGACTTGATAACTTCCTTGCCCCCTAGCTCTCTGTATATTGAGACTTTTAAGCCTACTGTCACGGAATTAGGGCCTGGGTTGAGCCTCAGTCCTCTGTGAAACTTATGATACTTTAGTTTTCATTGGCATTAGCCTCTACAGTTGAATCTTTGGCTCTGTTTCCCAGGAGGCTTCAGGACTCTGCCAAGTCCTATGGCCTTCTGGTACCAATAACTCTGTACATGACTTTTGCCTTAGAGGATGTTTATACATTCCAGAAGTTAGTGGTCTCACTATCAGAATCTAGATGGAGAAGGTATTTGAATCTAGCTTCCTTGACTCTCCTTGTGAGCTTCCTGGCCCCAAAGTGAGAAAGAAGGAGAGTGATTATGCCTTGCCTTGCGTAAGGTGTTGCTGTAGCTATGCCAACATAAGCAGCTACATGCTAAGCATCACACTTGATGGTCCCATTTCTGTCAGGAGTACACAATATAGATATAAGTTGCTGCAAACTCGAGAACTCCTGAAACATGCTGATTTTGTTTTTTGCTTGTAAAATAAGAAAGAAATTAGCTCATCAAGGACTAAGTACGCTCACTGACCTCCAGCAGCCACAGAAAGCTGAGGACACATGACGACACAGGAAAAAGAAAGGGAAGGGGGGCCCTGGCCACTCCTCCACTTTCACTTGGCTGGATGGCCTTGGGCAAGCCATAGCTCTGATAAGAGCTGTTCTTGAAAAAGAGCAGTCTCTGTCAGAGCTCTCTCAGCCCCACCTACCTCACAGGGTGTCTGTTGTGGGGAGGGGAAGGGAAAGGAGTTTGTAAGCCGCTCTGAGACTCCTTCGGGTAGTGAAGGGCGGGGTATAAATCCAATCTCTTCTTCTTCTCTTCTTCAATTGCAGTGGGGGGGGGGAGGTTAAGGTACAGACCATGAGGCAAGCATCTCCTAATCCCTGCCTCCTGAGTCCAGGATGCCGTAAACTTCTCAAATGAGTCAAAGCCTAGTACGAGTTGGGGGAAGAAGAGTTACCAGGACCAGAGGAAAAAGACTTCTTTGGAACCTGGCCAGCTGACCTCCAAGAGGACTTCTTCCATCTATGAAGGGAGCAGAGCTCCCTAACAATCTTTATGTATCCTTGAAGGGGGTGACATAAATCTTACGGAAAGCAGTGAAACTGTTTCCTTTTGTTCTTGATGTATCTTCATTTCGTTATTATGCCTTCTCTGCAGATTATTGTACATCTGACGCAATCTGGAAAACAAAATATGCAAAAATAAGAGGAAATCACAGACATTTCAAGCACACACACACAAACATACATAAAACGAAACCACCTATGCAAACCCCACTGAAAGTGCATGGGCGAGGTTTTGATTGACGACCTTTAAAAGTTGTTGTTTGGGTTCCTTTTTTTTATAAAGAAAAAAGTGAAATAGAGGATGTGTATGATAAGACTCATGCAGGGACAGAGGGAGTGGCTTGGGAGGACAAATGTAGTAGAATAACAGGAAGACCCAGAGGAGCCTCAACAAGAGGCAGCAGCAGGCCCCAAACTGCCCTTGACATGCCAGCACTGGCCGCGTTTTCAGGTGAAGTTGAGCTCAGAGATTATGGAGATGACAGGATTACAGCCTTGACAGGTATATACACAGAGGCAGCAACCCTGTTAATTGGTTGGCGCCTGCTCCTGCAGGAGACAGAGAAAAAAGGACAGTCAAGACAGAGAAACAGGAGGAAGACAGACAGAACAGGTCACCATGCCTAATTCTGCAGACGTAACAAGGGCTGCAGGAGCTGCGGTGGCTCAAGTAGTTAAGACACTGAACTGCAGGCTGTGGAAGGTCAGTAGTTCAATAAACACAAATACTGCGTACAGATAACCAAAATTGTAAGAATCAGTTGACTCTTGTAGGTGACTTCAAACAGTTTTAATCTTTCTGTTTTCCAACAAAAGACGCCATCAATGTTCTAAGGCGACGTCAAGACAACGGAGACACAGATGAACTTCCCCGGAGTTTTACCGCTCATTTCGATATGCTCTTTCTCAAAGCAACGGTTCAATTCTGCATCCTTACAATATCTGATACCGGAATTTCTCCAATTCCACGAAACTTCAAGAGCTCTTGACTATATTACTTCTACATACGGACCGTATGTAAGGATGCAGAATTGATGGCGTCTTTTGTTGGAAAACAGAAAGATTAAAACTGTTTGAAGTCACCTACAAGAGTCAACTGATTCTTACAATTTTGGTTATCTGTACGCACTGTTTGCAGTATTTGTGTTTATTGTACCTCAGTTATACTGCTGCACCCCCCTTTTTCTCTTCTGTCGAAGGTCAGTAGTTCAGCAGTTCGAGACCCGAATTGCCGCATGACGGAGTGAGCTCCCGTCTCTAGTTCCAGCTCCCGCCAACCTAGCAGTTTGAAAGCAAGAAATTGCAAGTAGATAAATAGGTACCACTTTGGTGGGAAGGTAACAGCGTTCCGTGCACCTTGGTGTTTAGTCATGCCGGCCACACGACCACGGAAACGTCTTCGGACAGCGCTGGCTCTTCGGCTTCGAAACGGAGATGAGCACCGCAACCCTAGAGTTGGACTCGACTGGCTTTCGAGCAAGGGAACCTTTAACTTTACTTTAACAAGGGCTGCAGGAGTAGAGGGACCTCAAACTCCTCCACTGAAGCCCCAAGCAGACAGTCTTGACACAGGAACCTGGGGACTCACACTTGTAGAATGGCCTACATACTGAATGCAAGACTGTACCTCTGCTTTACTAGAGTAAGAAAAAGCCATAAACAATTTGCTGTACACAGAGATAAACTAGGGAAGACCAGCATCAAAAGGAGAAAATCTCAGAAGAGATTTAGGCCGTTTCCACCAGGACATTTTACTCTGCCTTGGCTTCCTTACAGAAGTATGGTTTTTGGGAGCACCCACAAGTCATTGTCCTGTTTTCATCTTGTCTCTGTGTTTTGCTGCAATCTGTGTTTTGCTTTGCTGCAATCTTTCCCAAATATAGTTCGGTATGGTCTTTTTAAAAAGATCATCACAGCCAAAGCACCTTCGGATGCTGTGTGGAAAGGAAAGTGTGCATTTTTAAGGCCCTACCTGTATTGACACAACTTTCCTTGCACCAGCACATGCAGCCATTCCAACCAAAACCACATGGCTTTTTTTTAAAAAATCAGCAATTGCTAGATCTCTTTAGTGTTATACTGTTGATGTACTGCCACAATCTCCTCTTTCCCAGGAACTCTTTCACCCTTTTCACTGCAGAACTATAAAGGTTCGGGCTGCACATTCCTCCTTATCACTCCACAATGAAAAGGCTAGACTTAATTTTTTAATGTGAAAGCTGGGAATGAGTAGATCATGGCAATAAATTGTTATAACATTGTAAAGCTATAGAGATCTAGCAATTCCTCATTTCAAAAAATCTTATGACACAAGAAAACTGTGATTAAAAGTGCTGTGTGGATGTGGGTGCTCTGTTGTGACTGTGAATGCCTCTCCAGCAGCAGCAGCAGCAAGAGCTACACAAAGAAGTACCTCTGTCAAGAAGTAGCACCACATTAGAAAAATGGGGAGCTTTAACATCTGACAATACAGATGCAACTTTGCTTAGGATTGCACTGTTAGACTATCATTGTGTTCTTGCATATATAAGAGTATAGCTCACTGAATACAGATTGACTTTCAAATAAGTAACAAACATATTGTCCTTGAAAAAGCTTACTTGGCATTTTCCTTTGCTACTTCATGTAGCCTGGAACGAACTCTATCACTTTTACTCCATACATGAATTTCTGTTTGAACTTGCACACTAAATCAAATAAACACAGTGACTTAATAATGTAATTCTTTCAACAAAAGCTATACATTTGTTTACTGAACCTTTTAATCTTAACATTTGCAACTGGAGTTACACTGTTAAAGGTTCATCAAAATACAATTCCATTCACTACTTTATTATCTAAACTTGGTATTTTTGTAGTTCTGTTCTGAGAGAAACCTTAATTAGAACAGCAATATTGCTACTATACAATATGACATCACTATTTTGCAGAGTTCCATGGGCCCCAAGTTGAACAGGGCCCATAACATTTTGTAGCCCGGTTTTTCTTGCGGCAGTCCTGTGATTAGCTATAAAGATTCATTTACAGAAATCATTATGGCTTTAAGATAAGCCTACTTCACACCTGATTATGAAATGCTAAATATAAATCTCACAAAAACTGAAACATGTCCAGATTACAAATTGCTGTATGTTCTGATCCCATATACTCATCTAAATTCTCCAAGACATAAGGAGTTAACAATCTGTACAAGTGTTAAACATCCACAAATCAAGACTCAGTGAAACAATGAACTCATGCTTCCTTTCTTCCCCCCCCCCCCCCAAAAAAAAGAGTGCAAATTGGCTCTTGGTTTAAGCTTAAATACATCAATTTGTCAGTAATGCTAAGTCAGCTTGGATCCAGTGGCTGCTTAGATGGGATGCTAATGAGGCTGTTGACCCCATGGCACTCAGAACGACAGCCAGAGTGAGAGCCCTGGCTGGAAATTTAGACAGCCGAGTCACTGCCAATCTCCATTTCTTACTTTCTTTTTGCCACACAAACAGGCAGGAACTTATTTTGGGCGCGCAGCTGCTCTTGCGTCTGTGTCAAGTCATGTTCCAACTGCTTGTTTTTTAGGCGTACGTGCCTCAGCTTCTTATGCAGCAGTTCATTTTCCTGATTAAGCTGAAGAAGTGAGAGGAGGGGAAAACAAATCTAGGTTAGGGTTATCTGACACAACTGAAGACTCTCACCACATCTGTTTCCATTCTTGAAAGAAGTTCTTGCTTTAATGAAAAGCCTTTTACAAAGCCTAACCTGTGCATACCAACCTCATATGATTTTTCACATTTTATACTGCACAAAACGAGGGGTTTTATGAAGTACGTCTCCTACAATATTCTATTTGTCTAAAACACCAAAGGCATCCTTTCTCTAACCGCCATACATTAGAGAATCATGCTAGAGGTGCCTGTCTACCAAATTGCTTACTAAAGCAGAGGAGCATGCTTCAGGTCATCCCCTCTTAATTCCTCTGCTTGATTTCTACACACCCATCAGCTCCCTTTGTCATTTGCCTTTCGTTGTTTGTTACTCATTCTTCCTCTTCAAAGAACTTTTCAAAACCCAGTTTTTTCATTCAAGAAATCACCTAAATCACAACAGTCACCTCTATGTTCACTTCTAAAGCTACTTCCTTACTTCATCATACTGTTATAAGTCTACCTGGCCACACCATCCACTCCTTCCTCATCTAATGCAGATTGTAAACATTGTAAGGTGCATTGCATTTATATATTCTTCTAAAGCTTTACACACTACCGTGTTAAATCAGCACTTCTCAAACTTTAAGAAAACAAGCACCCCCTTCAAACTCACTAGACAGTACAACTGTTAGCTACTCTGTGTCATTTTTTTCTCTAACTATCCAGCTTCTCCACACACCTGGTTAGCATTTCTTCCCTGCTCACTACAGACCCTCATCCTAGAACATTTCAGTCCATCTGAGGTGACTGGACCTTTACAAGTCAGGAACTTGTAATCACACCACCTTCATTTCAGGAATCACTATGGAATCATGACACATGCTTTGGGGGACCCTGTGCAGTGGCCTTACCAATAAGGGACACAAAATTATTTCCATCCACATACATATACAAGTGTCCTCTAGCCCCCAGCTGGAAGAACACTGCATTTTAAAAGTATTAAAGAAATATGCCCCTGTATTGCCAGGGAACTCTTGTCTTTACTTGAAGAAAAAGGTCCTATCCATCATATTCACATAAAGACTATGATAGTATAGTGGCTGATAACATTTATTTTGGAATGGCCCATAGGAGGTTGAGATTTAAACATTGTCCCATGACAGTCAGTCACTGTCACCTATCTTTTAGCACCAGGGTTGTTGTAAGTCTAACAATCCATTGAAGTCAGTAGGCTTACAAGGATGCAAGTCCACTTACCCAGAGCAGCAAGTTTACTCAGAGATATGTTCCGCTGTATTAAGAGTAGCTTACTCTCAAATAAGTATGCACAGAATTGCACTGTAACAGTTACTTCCCTTATTTCAATAAGCACAGCATGAAACAACTATGGATAGTGTTGTGGTTAGAGTGTTGCACTATGGGAGACCCAGGCTTGAATCCCCACTCTCGTAGAAGCTCACTGGGTGACCATGGGCTAATCCTACAGCTAAATCTTCCTCACAGGGTTTTTGTGAGGATAAAATGGAGGAGAGGAGAATGATGTAAGCTGATCTGGGTCTCCATGGAGTGAAAGGCAGGGTACAAGTAAGCAATGCTCCCCCTAAGCTGTGGAGTCTTGTGAGCAAAAATTCTACTTTGTGAGCTACTGGAATTAAAGTTGTGAGCAAGCAATTTGGCTACTGCATAAATTACGTTTGTTCTGGAGCCAGAGACTAAAAAACTGTGAGCTAGCTCACACTAACTCAGTTTAGAGGGGACACTGCAAGTAAGTAAAGAAATTGGGTTGCCCTCCAAATGAGACCATTTTGCAATGCTTTGTTTACTAGCAAGTGCACAGAAAGCACTGTATGGATCTTACTTTAGTTCATTCTCTGGTAGGCAATAGGTAGATTTAAAGACACCTAGAACTGAATACACAAGTGGACAATGATACAATGTCCACTTACAATTAGGCACAATACTTATGTACTTTTAACACCTAAGCATAACATTCAGCACAGGAACCACTTTTCCCATGAAAAAATGAAGCTGTCATATACTGAATCCATTGGTTCTTCCAGGACACTATTATCTATTTAGACTGACAGTGGCTTTCGAGAATGGCAGCAGAGGCATTTCACATCACTTATTTACTCGATCCTTTTAACTGAGAATGCCCGGGGGACTCAACCAGGCACCTTCTGCATGCAGATGCTCTACCAAAGCCATGGTCCCACCAGCATGGCCGTCGTCGGGAGGGGCTGCTGTATACTGTGAACATTCAGCCAGTTAAAGGAGCATAAGCTCTCAGGTGATCCCTCTCCCCCGTTGTGTTTCTGAAATGTATATGCGGCAGTCTACACGTGGAGAGATGCTCTTGGGCACTCTGGCGGGGGGAGGGAGCTGTTTCTTAAGAGTCCTGGAGCCGCCACGCTGACCAAGCAAAGCAAAAGATTCCCTCGCCTGCCACCGGCTTGAACCAAGGCCAGATGCTTCTGGGCGGACCGGGGGAGAAGGGGGCGCTTGGGGCTCCCCTCCCGTCCAGAGAGCCACCTCCAGCCACTCACTTCAAAGCACCTGTGAATGGAAGGCAGAGTCATCCGCCCCCGGCTTCCCGCTTCCCACATAAAGCAGAAACCGGCCTCGAAGGAGAGCAGGGCAGGGCCGAAGCCCCCCCTCCAGCCTCTCCACAGCCAATAAAAGCACACGATACGCGGTGCGCGCGAAAAGAGGGGGGGGGGTTCCGTCTGCAGCACAGAGGCCCTATCTCCAATGGATAGAAGGACAGGCGACGATGTAGCGAAAGGTCCCATATACGGGTAGCCTTTACAAGCGCCTGTCTGGGCTCATTTGATGTAAATGTCGCATGGGGAATAGGAAGGTTTAATGATAATCAGAAACGGAGATACTACTCGGGGGAAAGGATTATGTTCTGTCTAAGGAATACTTCCAAAGGGAAAAAAAGTTTACCTTCGCACAGGCAATCACAAAGTACGACTAACACGGAAGCGATTGGCTTTCTTTTCGATGTCATTAGAACTAAGTGAGATCATCAGTGTGCGGCGACTGTTTCAGGTCCCCCCAGGCTTCTTGCTAAAGGGTTCCCATGGGAACAGGCTACTGAACTGACCCGTGAGGCGAGCAATGTAATAAAGACGGATCCTGAGTCGGTTTTAGAGATAACTGAATAGATGACTCAGACACATAGACCTTTCTGAAATCATATCTGCTAAGGTATGAACAACTGAAAGGCCGCTAGTGCTTCTCCACTACTACTGTCATAAGAAAGTCAATTGGGATTTAAAAGGCAGCTACAGACATACATAATTTGTTTTGTTGTTGTTCAGTCGCACAGTCGAGTCCGACTCTTTGCGACCCCATGGACCAGATCACGCCAGGCCTTCCTGTCTTCCGCCATCCTCTGAAGTTTGCTCAGTTTCATGTTTGTTGCATCTATGACACTGTCTAACCATCTCATCCTTTGCTGTCCCCGTCTTCTTTGACCTTCAATCTTTCCCAGCATCAGGGTCTTCTCCAGTGAGTGCTCCCTTCTCATTTGGTGGCCAAAGTATTTGAGCTTCAGTTTCATTATCTGGCCTTCCAGGGAACAGTCAGGGTTGATTTCTTTTAGGATTGACTGATTTGATCTTCTTGCAGTCCAAGGGACTCTCAAGAGTCTTCTCCAGCACCATAGTTCAAAAAAATCTATTCTTCGGCGCTTGGCCTTCCTTATAGTCCAACTCTCGCAGCCATATATGACTACTGGGAATACCATTGCTTTGACCATGCGGACTTTTGTTGGCAGGGTGATGTCTCTACTTTTTATCATGCTGTTTAGGTTCGCCATCGCTTTCCTCCCAAGGAGCAGGCGTCTTTTAATTTCATGGCTACTGTCACTGTCTGCGGTGATCTGGGATCCCAGGAACGTGAAGTCTGTCACTACTTCCATGACTTCCCCTTCCCTTGGCAAATGCCAAGGAGTGATGGGGCCGGATGCCATGATCTTAGTTTTTTTGATGTTGAGCTTCAAGCCCACATTTGCACTCTCCTCTTTTACCCTGAGTAAGAGGCTCTTTAGGTCCTCTTCACTTTCTGCCATTAGAGTGGTATCGTCTGCATATCTGAGGTTGTTGATCTTTTCCCCAGCAATCTTAATTCCCGCTTGTGATTCATCCAGGCCAGCATTTCGCATGATGTACTCTGCATATATATTAAATAAGCAAGGTGACAGTATACATCCTTGTCGTACTCCTTTTCCTATGCTAAACCAATCAGTTGTTCCATATCCGGTTCTAACTGTCGCTTCTTGGCCCTTATACAGGTTTCTCAAGAGACATGTGAGGTGGTCTGGTACTCCCATCTCTTTAAGGACCTGCCATAGTTTGTTGTGATCCACACAGTCAAAGGCTTTAGCATAGTCAATGAAGCAGAAGTAGATGTTTTTCTGGCACTCTCTTGCTTTCTCCATAATCCAGCGAATGTTGGCAATTTGATCTCTAGTTCCTCTACCTCTTCGAAACCCAGCTTGTACTTCTGGTAGTTCTCTATCCACGTACTGTTGAAGCCTAGCTTGTAGGATCTTGAGCATGACCTTGCTAGCGTGTGATATGAGTGCAATTGTGCGATAGTTTGAACATTCCTTGGCATTGCCCTTCTTTGGGATTGGAATGTATACTGACCTTTTCCAATCCTGTGGCCACTGTTGCGTTATCCAAATTTGCTGGCAAATGGAGTGCAGAACTTTAACAGCATCATCTTCTAAGACTTTGAATAGCTCAACTGGAATACCATCACCTCCACTAGCTTTGTTGTTAGTAATGCTTTCTAAGGCCCATTTAACTTCACATTCCAGGATGTCTGGCTCGAGGTCAGTGATTATACCGTCGTGGTTGTCAAGGACATCGAGGTCTTTCTAGTCCAAGGCCACCATCCCGCGGCTCAGGGAGCTGGGGGATCGTTTAGCGCCCCCCCTCACCCGCGGCCGTTGGAGCTGCCGCCGACAGCGGCAACAGCCATAACTTTTTAAAGAGCCCCTAACAAGAGTTGGGGGAGCCGTAATGACCTCTTGCGTGATTACACACCAGAATGATCACATGCGAGAGGTGGAATTTGCCCCTAGAAGTCCAAGGCCACCACCCCGGGGCTCAAGGAGCCGGGGGGATGTTTCAGGCCCCCCACCCTACACGCAGACGTTGGAGCTGCCAATAGTGGCGGCGGCCATAACTATTTAAAGAGCCCCTAACGAGAGCTGGGGGAGGCAGAATGACCTGTCGCGTGTGATGTCTCGCGTGTGCGAGAGGTGGAATTTGCCCCTAGAAGTCCAAGGCCACTACCCCAGGGCTCAGGGAGCCAGGGGAATGTTTCGCGCGGGCCCCTCACCCGTGGCCGTTGGAGTTGCCACTGACAGCGGCCATAACTTTTTAAAGAGCCCCTAACGAAAGCTCGGCAGCGGCGGACATAACTTTTTAAAGAGCCCCTAACGAGAGCTTGGGGAGCCTGAATGACCTCTCGCGTGATTACACGCCCAAATGATCACATGTGAGAGGTGGGATTTGCCTGTAGAAGTCCAAGGCCACCACCCCGGGGCTCAAGGAGCCGGGGGAAGATTTTGTGCCCACCCGCGGCCGTTGGAGCTGCCGCTAACAGCAGCCATAACTTTTTAAAGAGCCCCTAACGAGAGCTTGGGGAGCCTGAATGACCTCTCGCGTGATTACACGCCCAAATGATCACATGTGAGAGGTGGGATTTGCCTGTAGAAGTCCAAGGCCACCCACCCCAGGGCTCAGGGAGCCGGGGGAATGTTTTGTGCCCACCCGCGGCCGTTGGAGCTGCCGCTAACAGCAGCCATAACTTTTTAAAGAGCCCCTAACGAGAGCTTGGGGAGCCGGAATGACCTCTCGTGTGATTACACACCAGAATGATCACACGTGAGAGGTGGAATTTGCCCCTAGAAGTCCAAGGCCACCACCCCGCCGGGGGAAGATTTTGTGCCCACCCGCGGCCGTTGGAGCTGCCGCTAACAGCAGCCATAACTTTTTAAAGAGCCCCTAACGAGAGCTTGGGGAGCCTGAATGACCTCTCGCGTGATTACACGCCCAAATGATCACATGTGAGAGGTGGGATTTGCCTGTAGAAGTCCAAGGCCACCACCCCGGGGCTCAAGGAGCCGGGGGAAGATTTTGTGCCCACCCGCGGCCGTTGGAGCTGCCGCTAACAGCAGCCATAACTTTTTAAAGAGCCCCTAACGAGAGCTTGGCGGCGGCGGCAGTGGCCATAACTTTTTAAAGAGCCCTTAACGAGAGCTGGGGGAGGCAGAATGACCTGTCGCGTGTGATGTCTCGCGTGTGCGAGAGGTGGAATTTGCCCCTAGAAGTCCAAGGCCACCCACCCCAGGGCTCAGGGAGCCGGGGGAATGTTTTGTGCCCACCCGCGGCCGTTGGAGCTGCCGCTAACAGCAGCCATAACTTTTTAAAGAGCCCCTAACGAGAGCTTGGGGAGCCGGAATGACCTCTCGTGTGATTACACACCAGAATGATCACACGTGAGAGGTGGAATTTGCCCCTAGAAGTCCAAGGCCACCACCCCAGTGCTCTGGGAGCCGGGGGAATGTTTTGCGCGCCCCCTCACCCATGACCATTGGAGTTGGTATTGACAGCGGCGGCAGCCATAACTTTTTAAAGAGCCCCTAACGAGAGCTGGGGGAGCCGGAATGACCTCTTGTGTGTGATGTCCGAGCAGCAACGCGAGAGGTGGAATTTGCCCCTAGAAGTCCAAGGCCACCACCCCGGGGCTCAGGGAGCCGGGGGAATGTTTCGCCCCCCCCCAGCCGTTGGAGCTACTTCTGACAGCGGCCATAACTTTTTAAAGAGCCCCTAACGAGAGCTCGGGGAGCCGGAATGACCTCTGGTGTGTGATTACCTCTTTCAGCTCAAATGAGCTTTTGTGTGCATGCACACTTTTCCAAACACATTGGAATGGAAGGTAACAGTTCAAACAGTTCAGACTTATACACTTAAAACATCTTCACTTAGTTACACGCTAATTTGCTGTTCAGTCTGTCTATAAGTTTGAACTGTTACCTCTTCCATTCCAATGTACTTGAAAAAGTCTGCATGCACAGGAAAGCTCATGCCTTGAATAAACCTTTGTTGGTCTTAAAGGTGCCACTTGGCTCAAAATTTGTTCTTAGGGGGTGAGACATTCCTAAGTCTTCGGGGCAGTGGAGTCCACGACAAAAGCCAGCTACTCCCCCCCCCCCCCGGATACCCTTGAATTCTCCTTAAAGGCCCAGCCAGGCAGCTTGCGCGACTTCCTAAAATTAGCCGTCAGCGCGCGGGCTCTGAGGCGCTGGCCGGCTTCCCGCCTTGGATGGGTGGAAAAGGCCGTCACTCTGGCCAAGGAGGCGGCGCCGAGGCGGGGTCTGGGAGTCACTCACTTGCTCAACGCCGTGGAGGAGCGTGAGAGAGCCGCATAAGGAAGAGGCGGGAGGCAGCCGGAGGAGGTTCTGCAGCGGCTGGGAAGAAACGCCTCGCGAGGCTCAAGCAGGCAGCGGTCCGCCTTTAGGCTCGAGGAGGGAGCGGCAGAGAGCGTCCCTCTCCCTGCCGGGCAGCGGGGGCAGAGCGGAGGTCCTGCCAGAGCCGGGCAGGCGAGTCAGAGGGGAGGCGAAGAGACCGCGGGAGGAGCGGCTGCCATGAAGCCCAGCGGGGAGCAGGGGGCGGGGGCGGCCGCAGGAGTGGACGACCCCTGGAAGGAGTGCGTGGAGGCGGCGGTGCAGTTGGCGCTGCGGGCGGGACAGGTGAGTTGGAGCAACGCGCTTCGCCCGCGTGGGCGTCCTCTCCTCCGGGCCTCCCGTCCGGTGGGCTCTTGGCGCGAGGAAACAGGAGCCCTTGCCTGTTTCGGCGCCAGCTTTTCGCCTCTTTCTGGGGCTTGGGGGGGGGGGGCTGTTGTGCGCGCTGTGGAGTCAAATCGTGTGCCCGTGCAGAGGGGAGGGCGTGGAGCTCTGCGTCAGCTGCTGGAGCGTTGGCAGCCGAGAGCCAAAGCCTTGCCTTGTGGACAGTTCTCGGGTCGCAACTTTTGAAAGTTTGGCACGTCGCGGTGCCAGTCTTGTCAAGCCCGAGTCTATGCATGTTTACTCGGAAGCAAGCAGGATTCCGTTGAACGGCTCTTGCTGGCAAGCATTGGGAGACAGCTCCGTTGTGTGTTCCTTTTGAGGCCAAGAGGGGGTCAGGAAGAAGCGGGGTTGAAATACTGTTTAGAGATGAACTCGGAGAGGAGTGGGTTGAAAGAGTGGGTGAAGAGAGTCAGCTCAAATGAAGCAGGAAACCCAAGGGCCTTATATTTCTGGAGATCTCAAAAATAACCTGTTCAGTACTTGATTTAGAAGAACCCACAGGAAAAATGTTCTAAAACATCACAAAGGGATTGCTGTGGAGTTGGTGCGTTTATTCTTGGAAGTGTTGATCCTGTGACATAAGGGACTCTTTTCCTTCCTTGTTGATGCAGTCATTCCTCTGTGTTCATTTAGAGATTTTGCTGCCTCTATACGTATGGATACTTATCTGGGTACTCTAAACTGTCTTTTGTCTACATTTGTATCTTTCTGTTTCTTCTTGATCTGAATGAAACAGCTTAGAAGAAAAACTATTTTAACAGTAGGGGGGAGGAGTAAAAATTATCCAAGTGATGCTTGGCTATTTTGTTTCACTGACACCTTCCTTTGTCTACAAATAACTCCTTATCAGTTATTGTTCTTACCAAAATGTAGGAAATGTTTTATGTAACCTCACACTTGATGATAAGCCAAAGTGTATTAAGGAAGTGAGTTCATTAATTTAACAATTGCTCTGTATAAAACTGAAACCTGAGATTCAGGTTTATATTGACTCATATTTGTTATCCTTACAATACAGAGCCAAATGCTGATGCTGTCATGAAGCAAAATGGCCGAATACCAATTTTCAGTGGAACATATTCTTACCTCTGAAGAATGCTCCCCTTTCATTATATTTGTATAGCAATACCACTTTTGCTTTACAGAAAGAATTATTTGCATGCAGCCTGTGAAATGAAAAAGGAAAAGATCAGAAGCCTATAACTTTTTGGATGTGTAACAAAGTTTGAGTCAAGTGGCACTTTTGAGACCAAGAAAGTTTTATTCAAAGTATTTGAATAAAACTTTCTTGGTCTCAAAGGTGCCACTTGACTAAAACTTGGTTCTGTTGCTTCTGGCCAACATGGCTACCCACCTGAATCTATCTTTGGATGTGTGTTGGCTGTAGTATTAAAACATGCTACTTACTAACTTGACCTCATGAAACAATATAATTACTTTGACATAGTATTATGACGATAAATTCAGTAAAGCCATTAGTAATTAACTGCAACAGGAAGTCACAGTCTTTATTTAGGCTGAAAAGCTACCCTGGTCCTCCATCTCTGCACAGAATGATCTGCTTTCAGTGTCGCTGTCATTTCCTGTCTACACTAGCAAGGTGTCACTTCAGAACGTTTGTGCAGGCATAGGTTAGAGGAACTAGACTAAGAACCAGACTTCTTCTTTTGTAGTATATTGTTTGTTGGGTGATTTGAATCAACTGAATGTTTTGTGTTTTTGTGGATTTTTTTGAGAGTTTGCAGGAAGCACCCTTAAAATAATGTGTTTATGGGATTTTTTCCCCTATGTAGATTATTAGAAAAGCTTTCACTGAGGAAAAACAAGTATCCACCAAAACATCTGCAGCAGATCTTGTGACAGAAACCGATCACTTTGTGGAAAACTTAATTGTTTCTGCTCTGAAAGAAAAGTTTCCCTCTCACAGGTATGTCTACATATGGTGCTGTCTGATGCATGGCCAGTTGGAACTGGAATTCAGAGCATTATTCTGACATTGAACATTCAGGGAGTATTGGTAGAAGCAGATCTGTTTTAGACTGGGCTGGCGTCAGTATACCCTGAAGTGGAGCAGCTGCCCAGGCCCAGGTCTTCTGTGGGGCCCACTGCTGCTGCCCTGCCATCCGCTCACCTCCTTTGCTGTCCATCACCTTGCTGTGAGCCTGACCATCACCCACACTGACATCATAGTCAGGGAAGGGTGTGCAAGCGCTGGGAGGACTGGAGAAGGAGCAGGTGAGTGGGAGGAGGATGGATGGCGAGGCAGTGGGAGGGGAGAATGCAGGCAGATGGGCAGGGCGGTGTGAGCGGGGAGCTCAGTGGCAAGCAGAGGAGGGGACGGGGCCCCTGGAGACCCTCTGCCCAAGACCCACTGAAACCTGCAACCAGCCGTGGCCAAGGATGACCTACCGTGGTCTGAGAGAATTATCCCCCTTTCTCAAACCTGAGACCTTGAAGCAAGACTCTCTATGATAACATAACCAAATTGAACCTAAGTTTGGGTCAATAGATTCACAGCAACACACCACATAGTAAAATGAGCTTTATCAGAAAGAAAATAAAGAGGGTTTTCAAAACAATATAGTTCCAGTGATGTGTTCAAGTATTCAGAAGTAACAAAAATAACTTCTAAATACCCTTACTGAACAGGATTTCTGCAGTGCAGGTCTTAACCTCTTAAAACTTCAGCAAATTCAGTCTATGAGCAAACAGCATAGTCCATAATCAGTGTAGTGTAAGATGTATACAAGTACAAGGGATGGGGAAGGGGAGTAGGATAGGGATGGAAATAAGGCCTAGCAAGATAGATTACATTTTATAGAAAACTTTGGCCACTAATCTTATGACCTACTTCAGCCAATCATCACACTATCTCCTAAGAGCTTTCTGGAAGAGCAGCAAATCCCCCCTCCCATCTTGTTCCAGTGGAAACCAGTGACCTAATGAATAGGCCTGATGGAATGACATTGGTGGACCAGCAGTCTGTGTGCAGGGGTTACCAGCACCTGTTGTTACCTGAGCAGAACAGAGAAAAGATCTTGCAAGTGGAATTTGACTCAGACATGGCTCTTTTTCTTGACACCTGGATTTAGAAGTTAACTTTTGTAACTGGGGGCCTGCAAGACTTGTGAGGGGGGAATCCCATCCCCCCCCTTGCCAAACCCAGTGTGGCCCCCGGGCTTTTCAGCAGCCACCGCCAGGTTCAGTGTGGAGTCCTGGGTTGTATGGCAACTGCTGCCAGGCCTGGTGCAGGCCCTGAGCTGTACCACTGCTGGATCAGCACAGCTATGGGATTGCTGCCACCAGGCCTGGCACAGCCCCCTTGGCTACGCTGCTGCTGCCAGGCCCATCCAAGGTGCAGCATGCCCAGGCTGCACAGCTGCTGCTGCCAGTCCCAGCACAGAGCTCTGAGCTGAACATCCACTGCTGACTCACCTGAGGTCAGTACTCTACACTTGCACAGAGAACACTGTTTTACATTGGGAGGGGGGTTTAAATTCCCCTGTGTATTTCTTTTTTTATTTAAGAGTTCCCCAAGTTTGCTGAAGACTCTCTTTAGTCTCCTTGCAGCTCCAATCCTCAGATTTAGCTATCCACAGATGGGGCCCATGGGTGGCTATTAGAATATAAGATGATGTGTGAGTAGGAAAAATGTCTCTTACAGGTTTACTTATCACAAGGCTAGAATGAGCATCAGCAGTCTGTCAGATATACACTTGGAGACAGAACTGCCACATAATATGAAGGATATCCCATAGTTTCAAGGTGCAATGGTACATATTGTTTTAATCCAAATGCATGGAATAATATGCAGAAACAATTTACGTCTGTAAATGCCAGTAGATGCACATGGCCAGTAGGGAGCCAGCATGCACAGCAGTTTCAGATCCCAAGTATCTTCCTGATACAAGATGTCCCTTTGGTATAGAAACAAAGCAAATAAGTATACAACTGTGGCCCCGGTCACATGGGCAGAAAAATGCGGGGGGGGGGAGCGTGGCTGTTTGCCCCGGAGCAAAATACCGCGCGGTTGCGCGATCAGACGTCCCGTCGAGGTCCCGTGGTTAGGGGGGAGGTGCTGATCACAGGACAATCCTGTGGCGCAGCAAAGAAGCGGCCTCTCTAGCAAAAGGCTCCGCGGGTTTAACCCCTTCCAGGGCCGCAGAGGAATGCAAACTGTGTCCTCCGTCCGGTCCCCTCCAGGAGGAGCTTCAGCCGAGCCACCCTCCTGCCACCTCCCCCCTGCACCTCCCCCTCTGCTGCCCGGTGCAGAGAGTTCCTCTCAAGCAGGCCGAACCAGGAGTGGGGTGGGCGGAAAAGAGGAGGGGGTTGTGTTGTTTGTTTTTAAACGAAGTGTGCGCATGCGCCATTGGTTTCTTGTGTGCATCCCGTGGAGACTTAAAAAAAAAACCTTTAGCGACGGGACATGGGCGGGCACTGGATGCCACGACCTACCACTGGAAACGCGATCAGGCACCCGCCCTTGCCCCGCGGTTTCTGGAAACTAGTACCTCAGAGGTACTAGTTTTTTACCCCGCATCTTCGGCGGGAAGCCTCGGGTTCGCCATGGGAGCTCTACGCTTCCCAGATGTGGCGCTGTGATCGCGCCCTGAAAATCCGCCTATCTTCCGTCTCTGTAGCATGGCTAATGCTCCGTGTGACCGCAGCCTATGAAACTCAAGTTTAGTAAAACAGCTGTGAATGATTGTGCTCAATTTTGTTGGTGGAGAGATGAAAAAATGGGGATGCATTTTAAAAACCTGTGTAAGAAACTGTGATAATGTTGGGGAAATCAGGGGTGCAAGGACCCTTTCATGCACTCCCATTCTCATTCATTTTGGGGAAGTAGAGAAGCTGGCTTCCCAATTGCGTCAAGGGAGAGAGAGAGTTGTTCCAAACCAAAACTCAATTTATTCCATTACACACTCTTCAGTCAAAACACACCTAATGTGCCTTTTCCATTGTTTGTTCTTCTGGCCTCATCTTCCCTTTTGCCCATTGCTGCCAAGGCAGTTTTCATTAAATCATCCTTCAGCTCTTTAGGAATGTTGGCAGCGAAGAGGTCCAAGGCCTAGAGAGAGATCAGTCTGGTGAAAAGAAGAGTCTGCTGTGGAAGGCTGAAGGATTGCAGAAGGATCCTCAAAGTTCTTGTCTAGGGCCAGGTTGATTCTCTTGTCACAAGGATCTCTGGGAAGTCAATCTGCTTCAGGTGGAATGACAGTGTTAGAAGTGAGATCAGCAACAAGAGCATCTCGCCACAAGGAACCTGAAATGGTCAGCCACTTCCAGAACCAAAAATAGAAATGGGAAGTAATCTGGTAGCTGGCCTTGGGCCTCCTTTTCCATCTTGACAACCTTGCTGAAAACCAATGGGAAATGAAGACCTAGAGAAGAAGATGGTGCATGAAGAAAGGCTGTTGCCCATTCCAGCCGTTCTATCCAGATCTGGGTCCTTGCTGCATGGAATTTCCAGGATGCAGAGAACTTTGGGAAATAATTTAGGGAAAGCCTCCTGTGGAAAAAGATGAGTTTTCAGGGTCGTCACCAGTGTTCCCTCTAAGCTGAGTTTGTGTGAGCCAGCTCACAGTTTCTTAGCCTCTGGCTCACACAGTTTTGGCTTCGCTCAAGAAGGAGGGCTCCAGAGCAAACTGGTTTTTGCAGCAGCCGAATCACCTGCTCACAACTTGAATGCCAGTAGCTCGCAAAGTAGAATTTTTGCTCACAGGACTCCAGAGCTTAGAGGGAACATTGGTCGTCACCAGGGGCTCCTGTTCTTCAGCGTTCCCCCTCTACCCTAGATGTGAAGGAATCAGATTGTTCTGGGACTTCAGAGTCTAGGTCCAGTAAGGGACTGTGTTTTCTATGTCATGCGGAGGACAGAGACCTGTACCTGCAGGAATTCCTAGGATTCGGGCTGAGGAGAGGACTGGTGCATCTGTAGGCCTGGGTATCTCTCTCCTCTCTGCCACCCGCCCCAGCAGGCCTAGGACGAAAGCAAGACCAGCTTCTGCTTCTAGATTTACTTTTATGTTTGGTTCTTCTGCATTGGATGCCTGATGGTGCTATACTAATTGAGATGCTAATGTCCTTTTGCACCTGTCCCTTAATGCAGGAAGGGAGGTTAGAGTAAGCATTCTCACCTAATACGTTAGGCAGTGGCAAGTCCCCCAGTTTTTCCTGGCTGGAGGAGTGGTAATCCTGTTCCCTAGAAGGAGAGGAGGAGTGGCTAAACTGGGAGAAAGCCTTCATCTGGTAGGAGATTGGGTGGGAGGCGCCTCTGCTGTGGTCACAGACTCTCCTCCACTGCCTTGGAGGGAACAACAGGAAGAGCTCCTGGCCAAAGCACAGAGTCCCTGCAGCCTTCTTTCCCTCCAGGGGAGAGAAACTTGGAGGTGGGGGTCTCATTTCAAAGGGACGACCCAACCCTGGCTCCTGGTGGTTGCTGAAAAAAAAATACTCCCTCCTAAAGACCCTCAAGACAGAGAGGGTGGGGAGAGCTGGAGGCAGAAAGGCTGTGGAGAAAAAGAGTCACCAGACTCTTTAACAAGCACAGTTAATGACCACCTGTCTGCTAGTCAGACAAGGCTGAAAAGTGGGAGACTTGAGGGAGAAGCACCCCCTCCCAGTAGGAGTCATCGAAAAGGTTAATGACCCTGACTCCCTCTTCCCATTGGTTGTGGCTGCTCCACCTTGGACCACCAGAGAACTAGGCTCCTGATTTAACACTCCAAGTCTCAGGTACGTTAACCAGCAAAGGAACACATATGACTTACATATCTTCTGTGCCTTATGCGAGTGCCATAAAAAGTGGGGAACTGCTGTGTTGCTGCATTGGGTGCACATCCATCTTCCCAGGGGTGAGAGGTTCCCCTCTGCATAGTACATTGAAATATGTATAGGACCCAGAAGTCACTTGAGCGCCTGCTGTATTTGCTTCTGAATAGCTTTCGTAGGTTCCCTATGAGCTGCCTTTGTCCAGGTCTTGTAATGGCTTTTGTGTAACACCCATTTAAAGCCAAATAAAGTAGGGAACAATAATGCGTGTGAACACCTGAACTTTTCTCTTAACAGATGCAAGCACACCTACCTCCAACAAGTAAGAGCTGAATTAGAATTTTCTCCTCCTACATGTTACAGGTTTATTGCAGAAGAAGCTACTGCTGCTGGTTCAGAGTGTGTATTGAGTGCTAGCCCTACCTGGATTATTGACCCAGTTGATGGCACCTGCAATTTTGTACACAGGTAAATACATGGATAGTGCAGTGAAACTTGAAGCTTCCACTCCTTACCTCCTGCTTGTTGAAAGATGCTTTTCTATGTCCAACTGTTCAAATAAAGCATGTGAGCCAGCTTCGTGGTCACAGCTTCTTTGCGTGTCCAGACTTCCATTTATACTGCTTGACTGATTAATTATTACACTACATGAACAGCCAAAGATAAGGCTATTAATAAAGGAAGAAATACTGCAAATTTTGAATAATCATGTCTGTCACTTGATGTGCTCCTAGGAACAGTGGCAGCACCAAGCTGCAAGTGAGAAGGAAAATTCCTTGGGGGGGGGAAGCACTGACTAGGACAAGAGTTTAGAGGTACCATCGCTGTCCTGAATGCAATGAGCATGGGGATTGGCATCATTTCCATGAGAATGGCAATGTTGGGAAAATTACAAAATAATTTATTTGCTTTATTGCAAGGCTGTATATGATAGGAGATCTTGGAGGTCATTAATTCATACCATCATAAGTTAGAAGCAATCTGATGGCACATAATGTATACATAGAAAAAGTCCATATGGACAGACATTTAACTAGACTGGCCCTTGTGCTGGAGCAGCAGCTGCCTTTTTCTCACAGCCCATTTGTCACTGAAAGTCCACTGGCTGATGGGTACAATGGCTATAAGAATGGCTCCCAGCTCCTTCTGCAGCATCCTACAGTTAAAAGGAAGTAAATTCCTGCGAATCCAGGCAGTGTTGCCTATCTCTGCCATCTGACGTGGGAAGTTCATTGCTCTGCTGCTTTGTAAGATCGTGAAAAAACTGTTGCTCAGCTTTATTGTGAAACCATCATTTTAAAAAATGCTGTGTTATGAGTAGTTAAAAGGTAAAAATTGACAGGGACAGCTTTGCTGATATACACAAATAATGAAGATCCTATAAAAATGTAAACTGGAAACCAGGGACAACATTGCTAGTAGCTGAAGATGCCGAAAGTCTGTGTATTAAAAAAGTATTAACAAATACAACCTCTTTTATTTGCACAGGTTTCCAACTGTGGCTGTTAGCATTGGATTTGCTGTTAATCAAGAGGTATAAGCTAATGTTCTGTAAGTTGGTAAGATAGGCTTTTGCTGCCAACAGCTAGGGATAAACATAAAGCTTTACCAAATACCCTGTGATTCTGATGCTGTCAAAATGCAACTTTAACAAATATAGACTTAATGTTGATTACACCTTTTAGGCTGTGGCTAGGTTCAGGTCAGTGATGATTTGAAGAAAGCAAGGTTCAAGTCCATGTGCTGGGTGTTAACACCCAAACCAGAGCCCTTCAGTGTTCTGTGCAGTTTAACCAAAGCTTTTACTGTGATATGCCATTAGTTGGTTTAACGGTGGTAACGGTATGTACAAGTTTCTAGCCCACAGTGACAGCTGAGTCCTTAATGCAGAGACTAATTTGTCATGAGGTATTCTTACCTTGTGATTTTAAACATACTCTTTAAAAAGTAGAGTCCATTGGAATCAGTGAAGCTACAAGTAAATGCGTTTAGTAGGGGAGTCCCACCACAGCTTCAACAGAGTATGTGTTTGTTATTTACTTGAGGGGGCTTGCAGTTGCCCTGGTGCAACTAATTGGGTGACAAACTTAGTTGCCTTTCTCATTGCCACATGCTTGCACGTCGAAGCAGAATTTGTAGCTGTGTATAAACGTGCAACGAGCCTTCACCACCATTGTTACGCATGTGAAGCCTTCTGCTCAAGGAACCTTCTCCCCCCCCCCCCCCCCCCCCCAGCTCCTTTAAAAAGACCTGGTCTTGAACAGTATTGATTAGCTTAACCCCTCCTGCTAACTGTCTGATTCTTTTGTCAGTCATGAAACTCCTTGCCTCTGTACTTCTCTTGACCAGTTTTAAAGGGGAAATACTTAGAGGAAGAAGATCAAGCACTGTAGACATTTTAACTGGGTAAACATGCAGGTGATTTGAGGAGGAAACGGTCCACTTGTTGCTGTTCCCTCCCCTACTTCAGTCATCTTTCACTTGGGGGCCAGTAGGGGAAAACCTCTAACTTTTTCCTGTCTCAGGCTACAGTTGAATGCAGCTGCAGGCGATAGTCAGCTATCATATCTCTGCCCTTTAAGGGCAGAGTAGCTGTGGCCACTGGTAGGAAAATAAAATGTGGTGTGCTTCTTCTCCTCTCCTCCACTCCGTAATGTAGAACAGGAAGGAGAGCACACTGTGAGGAAAGCATTTAAAACTGGGATTCATCCAAGATTCACCAGTGTGAACCAGTGATGAGTGACAAAGGACAAAACGGGCTTAGCAGAAAATTTGGCCAAGACGAGCAGGATCTGACGGACTTGGGCTTCATCCTTCTAGCTTTTTTAGCCACCATGGATCGTCCTGTGTATATTGCAGCCTCATGTGCCTGCAGTTTCATAGGTGGAACTGCACTGATCTTTCAAGACTCGGGTCTGCCACTGATGCAAGTAGTTCTGCTCTTTAAATGGGATTGCAAAGGTCAGTTCTGTGTCACCATTAGTACAAGTTACCATTTCAATAATGGAGACTGAGTTGATGAGTATCCCAACAATAAGCAGCTACTGACCATAACAGCTGCCATACAGAAAGAAGCTTGTAAACCCTTCATGTCCTAACATGAGAGAGCTGCTCATCCTGGTAAGAATTCCTTTGTCCCCAGTGTTCCTGGCAAAGGCTGGGAAGCTTCATGAGATGGTGGAACGTAGATAGTGAGTTGCTCTTGCTTGTTATGAAGAGCACTGAGCAGCTTGTCAAGTAGCTTCCCTGTGATGGCTGTATGATAAGGATCATCCCTAAGATTAAAGAGATGTAATAGCTGCCTATTAAATGTTGTATGCTATAGGAAATTTTAGAGCAATTAAAATCAGTTTTTTCATCTATAGCATGAACTATCATTATTTATATGCATATGATCGCAATCTGTAAGTTGTTTATACTGCTTAATATAATGCAAGTTGCATCCATGTTTTTTCCCTTTCTCAAAATATTAAAGCTTGAATTTGGTGTAATTTATCACTGCATTGAAGAGCGATTATACACTGGTAGAAGAGGTCAAGGGGCATATTGTAATGACAAAAGGCTTCAAGTATCAAAAGCAACAGGTTGGTTTAGATTTTGTTGGTATTCTACAGTTATAATATTTATTTTTAGAGGGTGGTTGCTAGTTCTAGATAGGCTTCTCATGCATCTTTTATTATCACTTCAATAATGCAAACAATAGTCTTTGTTTTCTCTGTTGTATCTTAACAATTCTGCTTAAATGTAACAAATAAAACAGTCTTTTATAAATCATGGTAAACTTAGCTACGTTGGGACCAATGATCCATGTTTAATTGAATGGCTCTGCAGTTCTTCAATGGCAGGTGAGTAAATATAGCTGAGCTAATGTAATATATACTTAGTTGAACTATTTTGTCTGGTGCTGGCATAAGAAGAATCCATACAGTTGCCATGCTATTATATTAAGTCAGGGGTCTGTAACAGAAAGCTCATGAGCTACCAGTACCTCACTAGCTGCTCATGCATCCCCTATGTGATCCGGAAAAAGATCACAAAAATATCTGCTCTAGCCTTTTTTAAACAGCCTTTATTACTTAGGATTTTTCTCTGTGCTTGCTTAGTTGATAGAAGAGCACCAGAAATGAAGCTTAGTCCTTGTTTGTTTTTACGAGAAAACAAAACTTGATAACATACCATGTGCGTATGCATGCATGAAAAAGAGTTTTACTATAGAACTTTCAAAATAGGTTAAAAATATAAATTTAAAAATACTACTTGGAAAAACTGTTTAACTAATACAAACCTGCCATTGTTTTACAGACATTTCAAAGGCCCTGATCTTAACAGAGATTGGTCCAAAACGAGACACTGAGACACTGAAACTATTTCTTAGTAACATGGAGAGGCTACTCAGGGCCCAAGCTCATGGGTAAGAATTTTCCTACAATGCTCATAGGCCTTCATTAAACAAAATCAAAACAGACCGTTTTATAAACACTTCGTTAATCAGTCATCCATTGAAATCCGATAAACCCAAATGAAAGCTTTGCAGGTATTCTAATACCAAGTAACAGAGCTCCCAATGAACCTAGTCTTCACTATTCAAGGCTTATCACGCACAGAAGTTCCTTGGCACTGTCTCCAACGTTGGAGTCAGCACAAAAGCTTTGCTTTGTGAATGAGATGCACAGATAATTCCATGTTGCAATATCAGCATGGATACGTAAATAATACAGTAGCACATATATCATAAATTGTAAAGATGAGGCAAATACTGAGACAGGTATGTGTTATATCAATATCTTGAAAAACAATGTCCTAAAACTTGATCTGTGTTGTGCCAGCTGTACATGTATAATAGCATTATGCAAAACTGATGACATATTTTCTAAAATCGCTTCATAGACAGGTTTTGTCTCCAGTTTTTATCAAGAGTTTTGTTGTGTTCACAAAAGTGTTCTATCTTTGCTGCCTGACCTCCCCTTCCCACTTGTCTACTGCAGGATTCGTGTAATTGGAAGTTCTACTTTAGCACTCTGCCACTTAGCATCTGGTGCTGCAGATGCCTATTATCAGTTTGGCTTGCATTGCTGGGACTTGGCTGCAGCTACTGTTATTATCAGAGAGGCGGGTGGTGTTGTCATAGATACTTCAGGTAAGCAAAATACACTGTTAGGTGGAAGCAGTATAGACGCCATGTTTTTAAAAGCACATACTTTTGCTTTATTTATATTCCGTCTCACTGAAATTCAAGGTGGATTACACAGTGCAAGTCAATGCAATCAATAGGATGAAACATTTAATAAGCAATGTAATAGGACAGGGGATTGCAGAAATCTGAACAAAGCATAAATATCAAACATGATGTTGTACATGATGTAAATGGTATTATATAAGTAGAAATACAATACACTGAGAACAAAATACTGTACACAACAACAGATAACGTATACCATACACAGTAGTAAAATCCACAGATCTGTTCCCTTCCCTGAAACACCTGGACCATTCTGTCATAATATAGCCCTATCATCTCTATAAAAATGTGCTCCTGAACAATTCTGTTTTATATAGTTTGCAAAATGCCAGAAACTTGGGAGCCTTCTCAGATCTCCTCAGGCAGACCATTCCATGGTGGGAGGTACTACAGAGAATGCACATCTACAGGCACTTGTTGATCTTGCCCATCTGTTGGTCTGCAGAAGGCTATGCTTGGATGATGTGGTGGGGCATAGGAGAGGAAGTCATGCAGATATGCGGATCCAGGGTCATGTGATGGTCAATACCTTGAAATTAATCCAGTGGCTGATGGGTAGATAATGGAGCTGCAGCATTTTGTACCATCTGGAGTCTCCCAAGTTGACTTCAAGGCAAGACCTAGGTAGAGTGCATTGCAGTAATCTAGTCTCAGTGTAGCAGTGGCATGGCTCCAGGTGGCCAGATCAGCTGAGTCAAGGTAGGGTGCAATCTCCTGGGCTGAACTAATCTGGAAGAAAGCATTTTTTTCCCAGCTGCATTAACTGCTTCTCCAGCAGTAATGTTAGGTCCAGTATATCCCCAGGGCTCTTAAATTGAGTCAGCCGAAGGCCAGCTAAACCTGCCTTTAAGACCTGAGGCTTTCCAACCTGCCTTACATCTGCCTTCTTCGGGTTCCATTTCAATTTGTTCACTCTCAGCCATTTGATGGCAGTCAGGATGTCTATTGTGTCGCCAGGAGATTTTGATAGAGAGCTTGCTGTCATCAGTATATTGATGGCATCCAATTCCAAAACAATGAATGATTTCTCCTAAGGGCTTTACAGAGAGAGTGAATAGTGTGGAGGACAAGACTGGGCCCTGATGAACCCCACAGGACAAACCCCAAAGTGAGAACTGGTCTCCAGCAGCAACTCCTTGAGTCCTGTCCATAAGGGATGATTTAAACCAGTCCAAAACACATCCCCAATACCTGCTTCTACCTGCAAACATTTAAACAAGATGTCTACTGTATCAAAGGCAGCAGCTAAATCCTGTAGGAGCTGTCCTTGCCCAAGGGAATTTGAATGCATGTGAGAGCGCTTGCCCCTCCTGTCCTGCTGTACAGGGTAGTGGGCCACCACTCAAACTGTGTCCTTCCTTTTTTCTGTTGGTGGATTGAGGGCACAGATAGGGCTATGTGCATCTCTGTGTGTGTGTGTACTGTCTTACACACCCCTCCCTCCTGGTCAGCTGTCTATAGGCTAGTCAGGAGTTTCTAGTCCATGTGTGGAATGAGCAGTCAGGTACATGGACTGGAGTCAAAAATCTCACCTGAGATCTTTAAAAAAAGATCTTTGTTCAGTGAAATACACACTCAATTGATGATGCACAAGGCATTGGAAAACTATATCAAAACACTACATGGTAATACAGACTAAGAAAACAGCATCAAACATGAGGTTAAGTAGGTTATATGGCCACTGATGTTACCTTGGCATTCCCTTCTGTAGAATGGATAGAGACCTGTAGGAACTTTGAAAATAGACGCTGGTCAAGACGGACATAACTCTATTCACTCCCTTTGTTCATGTGCTGCTGGCAGGATGTTCAGACCATTTCACTCTTCCTGTCCCAACTGAGCAGGCAAGGCGGGATATAAATCTAAAATAATAAAGTAAATAAATCATGAAATTTGGAGTGGTCCCACATGTACCATTCTGCACCCCTTTCCCCAATCAAGGTACACAGTCACAACGTTTTATGACCCCCACTCACTATATCCAAATAGCCATCTATCTTGGCCCCTCCTGATAGGTGGGCATATGGTCATTCCCATCCTGCCTATCTGTCTCCATGAAGGAAATTCATCTCTTTTGGGAATCAGAGATATTTATAGCTCCATTCTCAGAGAGACAATGTTTTCTCTGAGAACAGTCATGACTTGGCTGTTGTAATGATAGCAGAGACATAACACTTCATCATTGTTTCTACTGCTTCATAGGTCTTCCAATGAGGTCTATAGGATGCCCTGTCAGATTCAGTACCTGATTTTCTGTCAGCATTGTTCTGAAGTTCTCCCAGTCCTCTTCATGTGTCACTGAGCTCTGTGGTAAATCATAAGGCCAGCTTCCACCCCAAGAGCAGGAGAGGTCAATGAAAGACAATTTTGTCAGCAGCTTCTAAGAGTTTCACTCTCCAAGTTCCCACCACAGCCCAACCAGAGTATGTGTTTGGAATTCTACAATCCCCCAGAGCATTCTAGAATCCAGTGGGATTCATAAGGCTCTGGGTGGACCATTTTAAGTGGGCCCCTCTCCAGCAGGGTATTGGAGCCACATTTCACCTTTGCCTTGATTAGACAGTCGTCATACCATGACTGAGGCCAAATATCCAACCCCAAAACCAAACCTTCCCTCAAAGACTCGGTTCAAACATTTAAACCCTAAGGTTGGATCTCTTTCATGGGTTTGGCCTGTCATGATTTGAGAGAGGCCCATGTCAGCCATATAAAATTCTGGGCTGGCCCTGGTGAGGAACCCACAGCCATAAGGGTTGAAGTCCCCTAGTACAATCAGTCCATGAGTCTCTAGCATCACACCCAAGAGTATCCCCATCAACTCAGTCAGGGTGCCTACTGGGAAAATAGATATTTGGTAGACAAGCAGAATGTCTAATCCTTAGTCCCCAATTTAAGGAGCATACAATTAGTGTCAGTGATAGATTGTACTAGGTGTCTTTGAAAATTGAAGGACTACAACCTTCTCCCTGGCCACTAGCATGGGGTTGATGGATGGCATACTCCGGGGAGTTAATTGGGATAAACGCTCCACATCATTTTCTTCCAACCATGTCTCTGTTACACAAACCAGGTCAACTTTCTCTTCTTGTAATAGCCTGGATAGGAATGCAGTGCAATTTTGTGCCTCTCTGACCTGGTACTGTATACTATTATTGAAGAAGTAGAGGAAATAGGGGACCTTGTATCAGCATCACTTTAAATATTAGATAAGAAGAAAGCGTTCTTGCTTTGAAAATTCCTTCCCCCATATCTGCCTGCTCCCATCTGCACTCAAAAAACACATTCATTAAACAGTCCACCCCAGACATCAGTTGCCACCTTTCTAGTTCATGGGAGGGATAAGTGATGATGGTGCTAATGATAGTGTTAGGCTCCTTCCTCCTGTTTTAGTGGATCCAGATTATTATCCAAGATGACAGGGAGAATGCATATTACTTCCTGAGCAGACACTGTACAGACATGAGGACGAAGAAATATATTTTAAATCCCAGTTAATAATATTTAAACGTGTTTTTTCCCCGTTTTAACTTTGCAAGCAATCCTAATTTAGCAGCTGGTTGTTTTTCTGTACATAAGTGAATTGCACTCATCATCAATGTTCCCTCTAAGCTGTGGAGTCTTGTGAGCAAAAATTCTACTTCGTGAGCTACTGCCATTAAAGTTGTGAGCGAGTGATTTGGCTACTGCATAAACCAGTTTGCTCTGGAGCCATCCTTCCTGAGCTAAGACAAAAATGTGTGAGCCGGAGGCTAAAAACCTGTGAGCTAGCTCACACTAACTCAGCTTAGAGGGAACACTGCTCATCATCCCCTAAGTATTTGTTCCTTCATGTACCCACAGTGAAATGCAGGAAATGGTTTGAACCTTCCTTGTGCCCTGTGTGGAGGGGTAGGTTTGCACAGCACTAATGAATCTAAGTGACATTTTCTGTGATCCGATTCCTCTTCTTTATAGGTGGCCCTCTAGACCTAATGTCATGCCGAGTGATTGCTGCAGGTACCCAAGAAATGGCTGCATTCATATCTCAGCAAATACAGACTATTCATTATAGAAGAGATGATGAGAGTTGACAGGACTTTAAATGTTTCTGAAAATATTGAGGAACCTGCCCTTTGAACTACTTCACTTTTCTTCAAGAAGGCTTGCTTATAGGGTAAATGGGTAAAGGTGTGCTTTCTTGTACTGGTGGAATTTCAAAAATGTTAGGAAAAGCTTTTGCTTGCATTATAGGAAGGTGAAGGGAATTTTTTTAATTTTGTAAGCTTCTTGGCTCCTTTTATAATAAAAGTTTATTTCACCTGCACTTTCTTAAATATGTCACAGGCATCCGGGGTTGAGTTAGTTTCTTGCTTCTTTAAAGATGGAAGAGGCTGTTTGTAACAATGTAATTAAAAACAAAATGCTACTTCTTGCAGATCTCAGGTCAACTATGTTTTGTTCTGTAGCAGGGAGCAAGTAGCTTACATGGTGTGCCTAAAACTCCCTCATCCATCAATACTTGAGAAGACAATTACAGCTCTAATTAAATTTAAAAGTATATGCATTAGATTAGATATTTTATAGTTATTTCTGTGGTACACAAGCGCTTACAAGTACATACCTTTTGAATTGTGTGTTGCCTTTATGTAATAATTAATATAAAGTTAATAGTAATGCGAAGTAGAGGATGGATAGCTTTTTTCTTACAAAATTGTTCAGTGATTCAAGAAGCACAATATATAGCAAAAAATTTAAATTACAGAAATTCTATGATCAGACTTTGTAAGGGTATGACAATTTTAGCTTAACTAGGATTGAGCACAAAGTTGGCTGAGAGCCAATGTGGTATAGTGGTTAGAGTGTTGGACTAGTTTAAATCACTACTCCTCCGTGAAAGTTGCTGGGTAACCTGGTACCAGTCACTCTTTCAGCATAACCTACCTCATGGGGGTTTTCAGATACGATGGAGGAACTGACCTAAGTCCTTGGAGGAAGGACAGCATGGAAATGTAGGTAGGTAGCTACCTGGTATTGCTGTACCTAAACTGCAGCCACTAGATTGACAATGCATCAGAAAGGAATTATATTAAGTATATCATACATTAACAAAAGGAAGGCTTGAAGTGCTGAGTGCTCGTAATTGAGCTTTTTTGGCTCCCATTGCAGGAGATGTGATTGAAAGACTGATAGAATCTCGTGGTGTTTTTGAGAACCCAACGTGGAAAAAGGGTGCCACTTAAGCCTAGCTCTAACTGAGGTGTGATATCTTTTTCTGGGATGTACTAATCTGGACTGCAAGTAGGTACTCATATAACGGTGTCCTTGCTACCAAAAAAATAACAACTCTGTGCTTGGAAAACTGGAATTCAGAAATGCATTCTAAAAATATTTGGTAGATAGTGAGTCTTAATCCGTTTGCTCAGTCACACTCCATAGGTAATGAATGTGAGATCTGTGTGAAATAATATCTCCTTTCCCAAGTACAAAATATTGCAATTTGAGTACTTGGAAAATGCGTTATCTCCTCAGCAGAAGCAAAACCTTCAGGAATGTGCATAATACATCATCACTTTACGTTACTAAACTAATGAATGCAGAAAGGCCTTACAAATACAGGTGCTAAAGACTAGGATCAATTTCATAACTTTAACCTTTTTTTCTTTCAAGTTGGTCAGCTTTTGAGTCCTTTATGTATGTCTGTGTACATAAAAGGGGGGCTAATATTTAATTCTTGTGCCAATGCAAAATCCATGCTATATTTGAATGATTGCCTAATAACTTAACTTCTGGCTCATAAGGCAGCCAACACCTTTCTAGAAAGATGTTTCTGTGCTGTCCCACTTATATGGTAGTGGAAAAGCAACACTGTAGCCTCTCTAGCCTGTGTATCCCTGAGAATGAAAAATCTGTACATGCCCAATTTGCAATTAGTAGACACAAGAACCCTATGGACTAGTTGGCAACCTTGTTTTTCAGAGAGTAAGTTCATAATCTGCTAGTAAACAGATGATTATGATAGAATGTGCCATCACTGTGCATTATAAGCCATCATGTAACCACTGCAGTCTGAGACTGTGCAAAATGTAATACTGAGACTTCAAGTACTATGCCATAGTATTTAATTTTAAAATGTGCTTAAGTTTAGAAGAGACATTGAAGGTTTATTCCCAGAACGTACTTTTAAGCACTATTGTGCATTATTAAGCACCTGAGAGTGTTCAGAGCATTTCCCATTAATTTGTACCCTTTACATCCACCTTGTAAAGCATGTCAGTATTCTTCCATTATTGCTGATGAGAAGACTGAGAAATTGTGGCTAGCCTACAGCTGCCTAGTGAACTCATTGCAGAGGTGAGATTGAAAGCAAGGAATTTGTGATTTATAACCAGCAGTGCCATTCCGAGCACAGTTACCCCCTTCTAAGCCTAATGACTTAAGTGGACTTAGAAGGTTGTAGCTCTACTTGCACTGTAAGTATTTTGGCCATTAGGCCACACTAGCTCCTTCATTTGAAGGTTAGGATTGCAGTCTTGCACACAGACTATTGTCCATAGTTCATTTATCAGCTGCGAGTAATCCATTTGTTAACGGTGCTTTTGATTTGAGACATATGAAGACCTAAAAGAACAAAGGAGCTTGACTCTAGTAAGTGAACTTATTATATTTTTTAAAAAATCAGCCAACCCCAACCCCCCACCACATGCCCCTTAGAAACAATAATACCTGGTCTTTTAATAATATTGATAATATTTTGGTACACAAATTATAGGATGGATTTTTTCACTAGGAACTTACACAAGCAGTATGGAATGTCCATATTCCCAACAGGTATACTAAATATAAAGGGGAAACCACGATTGTGTAGCATTAAATATTTTGTACAGATCAAGCATTGTATAAGGTGCATTTGTATAAAAAATTATTCTGAAAGTATATATTTCCTTTAATGGCATCTTAATACTGAAATATGAAAGGGACTTGTGAATACTGCCATGTATCATGACTACTGAATTTCAGCTTGTCCACCATTACCTGTCTGCTATTAAATCTTACTGTGAGATCTGGAAATGCATACATCTCTACCTCATACAGGACTATGAGCACTAATGTGTGGTGGTAAAGTTCTGTAAATACTACTGCTTACCATGAATAGTAAAATACAGCCTGTCTATACTGAAACACATGTATTCCCAAATGAACAGATTGGTAATAATGCCTGGAGCACTGCATAGTTATAGGAGTCACTGCCTCAAGATGTGGTGGTGTCCCATGGCTTAGATGGCTTGAGGAGAGAATTGGACAAATTAATGGAGGATAAACCTATTAGTAATTGCTAGCCATAATATCCTTCATTCAGGGTTCTGTTTCTTGTCCCTTCGGAACTTTTGAGCATGTATTGTACCTTGTTGGTTTTCTAGAAAAAACTTGCCTGTGCCTACCCAATGAGAGTACAAACAAGAAGGAAGAGCTGTTGTCATCGTGTTCCTCTGTTCTTTACAGGAGTGTTTGATTTACCATTAGTTAGTGGCAGAGGGGCTGGTCTTGATGGACAATAGCAGTTTTCACTTGCTTTGGTCATCAGTTGTAACAATAAAACAGTTGCAATATAACAAGATTGTTTGGGCACTAAGTATCCAACTACGTAAGCAGCAGAAATACTGGCAGTAGGTTATAGCAGCCAACAGCAAATGTAGCCAGAGTGTGAGCAGATAAATTTTTAACTGGAAATTAAAGTAACTTCTCTAATATTTTATCAGTGTTCCTGTTCTTTAAAGGTGGTGCATTCATGATTGGCAATTTTTAAAAAGTAGTGTAGAAAACCTACCAGTACGTCTTACCTGTGAATGCAGCGTTTCAAACTGAATGGAAGGTACCATTATTTCCCCATTCAATGCATCTGGTACAATGTGCTGGAATCTTAAAAGTAATGGCTCTCCTTAATAATCACTTTTAAAAGATGGATCTGTTCAGTAATGTTCTAGTCTGTGCAGCCGTGTCATTTACTAGTTAGTAATTAATATTATACAGTGTTTTCATTTCAAGTAAGCCCTGTGAGTTAAATAGAGATTATTCATGATTAAGTATTGGAGCCTATCCAGCTCATACATATACACATACTAAATTTGTTGAGTCTTCAAAACATTAAATGATCACATTTTCAGAAATGTAACTTCAAGTATACCTATTCCATCAAGTGCACATGAAAACTCAGTATTTGCTCCCCACATCAGCTGGAGTAAGTGTAGCCACTCCATTAAAATCAATGTCATCATTTCACACCACATGCTTAACTATGACTGTTATGGTTTAAGGGTGACTGAAACCATGAAACTCATGTGCTGAACAGGTATACCGGGAAATAATTTATTGTACTTTTACTTGAACTAACTTGTTTGTTCTCAAATGTGTGACACAACCAAGAGCTCAGAGTACAATCCTGAGCATCAGTATGGTTACTCATGTTCTACAGGCTACACTTGAGTCTAAATCATGCCGCTACTCAGACCCTCTGATCTGTGTTCATTGTGCAAAATTGTAAGCTTCGAGCACAATCCAACGCTTTTGAAATGTTGGGGCTTTTGTCCCACTTTTTAATAAAGGGAAATATGCTGTGCAGATGCAGATACTCCCTGCTCATGTGAAGAGCTCCCCCTCAAGAAAAAAACTGGTTGGGGGAGGGTTTGACAGCCATAGAGTGCATGAAGGCAGATATAGTGTTAAGTGGTGAGCCTTCTGTGGATGTGCAACCAACAAGTTTTATTTGGACATGCATTTTCTACCCTCCTTCTGAGATTAGGCAAAAGAAACCTTCCCTGGCAGCCACCTTTGTCTTCATTTTAAAAAGTATTGCCAGTGGTTAGGCAACTCTTGCAGACAGAAAGCAATGTACATGAGGGTGCTACAGAGATCAGGTGAGATTATCCTTCCTCTGTTTTCCATTGGCAGATTATCCCTTGCATACAGCACAGTCCTTAGACTTTGAGATTGATTTTATTAAAGGAAAGGCAAATGTGCATTTAATTGAAAAAATACATGTGCTTTAGACTTTTTTTTTTTAAGTTGCCTGACCCATGGGGGGCATAAAAAACAACTCACCAAATTAGTATTTGATTTGTTGGCCTGTGCATCTGTCAAATGTATTGTAAACGCACATGGCAACTTGGCGAGAGCCAAATCTGGTCTGCATGTATGTAGAGAGAGATCTTCAATGTCTGAGTAAAGCTAAATAATAAAAACCACATATAGGTACAAGGAGTAATGCCTTTTTTAAAATGTAAGGGCAACACTGTTATTTCTCAAGTGTCTGAATTCAGTGTGTACTACTGTGCTGTTCTGTCAAATTATTGCAAACTTGTGCTATCCTTTATAGGAGGTCTGTATAATACAGTGTAAAAGTTGAATAAGCTGGTACTTTATTTCAAAGTAAAGGTGAAAATTATGTTTTACTGTATACAGGTTTACTGTGCACCAGTAGCATGTTATTACATAATATTGGTTTGGAGATGGCACAACTCAGTTCAGTATATAAGG